GTTGACCGTGGTTCGGGTGTGGGACCTGGTGGCTAAAATCACATTGGGCACGTGTGCGTGTATGCCCAAGATCCTGAGAGAATGGAGAAGGGATTGTGGTGTGGCCATCTCCCCTGGGGGGGGGGTGATTTCTCTCTATCTGTCTCTCTTTTTGGCAAGCGCACGCGCCATATTGCAAAAACCCCTCCAAAAAAAAAAAAAAAGTAAATAATTCTTAAGAAAAGTTCTAAAAAATTTTTCGAGACCTGAAATGAATTACTAGGCTTCAGGTTGAAACAAATTGTAAAATCAAAATTTTACCATTTTTCAACTAAATATAGTATGAAGGATGTTAAAATTTGACATACCTCTTATTATTGGGTTGTAGATTTTTTTTTTAATTAAAAAATAAAATAGAGGGGCCAGCAGTTAGTGTAATGGCTATGTTGCTTGACTCCCATGTAGTCGACTGTGGTTCGAGTCGTGGACCCGGTGCCTTAAACTCATGCCGGGCGCTAGTACATGCATGCCTAAGATCCAAGAGGAGAACGGAGGACTAGGGATTATGGAGTGGCCATTCCCCCTGGGGGGTTAATTTTTTGCTTTCTGTCTGTCTTTCTGGCAAGCGCATGTGCCCTACAGCAAAACCAAAACAAAACAAAACGCCTCTCGCCCCCCCCAAAATTGGAGGCAAATATAATATAGACAATAGGCAGTGTTCCTATATTCTGCTTGTAAATTTAGATTATGAAATCACTAGAGTGGTGCTCCTATTCTTGAAAATATTCCCACTGTGCTGTAAACTTTTTCATACTCTTTTGAAACATGGATTTTTTTTTTTTTTAGATTTGGCTTTTTGGGCACTTGTGCTACATAGGCACAGTGAGAGAGATAGAGCGCGCAATTGAGCATCTTCAGGGGGGTGACCACACCTCAGTCCCTTCTCTTCCATTTTCCACATATGCATATGCACATGCACATACACACACCTGGCATGTTTTTCTTTCCTTTTTTTTTTTTTTAAAGTATTTAATTTTATTTATTATCATCATTTTCTTTGCTACAGGGCATATGCACTTAACAGGGAGAGACAGAGATAGAAAGTGAGAAAGAAAGCTAATAGCTACATTGTAGACATTCTCTCATATCAGTTGTTACAGATATGCCTGTTTGTAGCAGTTTTCCTTGGCAGCAGTGAACCTTAATTCTTTTTTAAAAGACTCATTTATTTATTTAATTTAATTTATTTATTATTTTTATTTGTTAGAGGGCACATGCACTTACCAGAGAGAGAAAGCGAGAAAGCCACCTGGTCTGGGGCTCAAATCGTGGTCGGTTATGTGGGAATCCAGTGCCTTAACCACTCCACCTGCTTTCCCCAATGAACTTTAGTATTTAATTGTCTCCCACTTAAAACTGATTATTAACTTAACCTTTTGGTTTGCAAATAATGTCAAAATGTGTATCTGTGTGTACTTGTAGATTTGCACAATTAAAATGTGTTAGGGGCTAGCCCTGTAGCATAATGGTTAAGTGCTGTGCATTGGGAGCTGGATCTTATGGCTGACCACGGTTCTGTTCCCATCCACAATGGCTCAGAAAATATGCTTGGTGCCTGTGCTTGTGTGCCCAAAATCCTAATGGGAAGGAGAAATGGAGAGAGGATTGAGGTGTGACTATACTCCATTGGTGCTACTTTCCTTGTTTCTCTTTGGTGAGCTCCTGGGTATTTTGCGAATTTAAGGGGAAAAAAAAGTATAAAATTATGTGTTAAAAGGTGGTCCCAACAAGATTATTGTGTCCATAATACTCTGTCTCCAATTCAGAAGACCATAAAGCTTTGAACCCGCAAGTTTTTCATGTATCATTTAGTGGCAGGATCTGAGTGATATGAGCCTATTTGATAGTAAAGCTTGACCTGAATTTTTATGATCATGTAAAACCTTTATTATTTTCAAAGATTAAATTTTTATCTTACTGTAGAAATTAAAAAAAATTTTTTTGTTTCTGTCTTGAATGAATTTCTATTTTGCCATACTTCTATTCTCTCAGTAAGTGAGGGTCCCAAGTGCACATGGATGCACCTGGTGTACCTTGTGTGCTTAGGATGACCTGGGATCCAAACCTGGGCTTCCTATATGGTTTCAGCATCTAGCATCATTGTTGTACTACCTGCACCACTCTAGCTGGCCTACAGAAAAATTCTTTTGGTTGATTATTGAGTGTTGCCCAAGATTTCACTGGGAATATGAATAATATTATTATAGAGGATGAGTGTCCTTTATCCAAAATGTTTGGGGCCAGAAGTGTTTCAGATTTTGTTTTTCTTCATATTTTGGAATATTCACATTCATAATGAAGTATCCTGTGAATGGGACCCAAATCTAAACAATAAATTTGTGTTTCATATACACTTTACACACATATCCTATAGGTAATTTCATAGAATACTTTCGTATTCCGGGATATTGACTATGACCTGTTACAAGGTCAGAAGTGTAATTTTCCACTTTGAGATTATGGTGTACTCTAGTTCTGAATGTACAAAGGTAAGGTACTTAGTAACCTGGAAAAGACTTAATTGGCTTTATATAGCCATCACTATTTAAATGATTATAGCAAGTTTTTGTTGTTGATTTAAATAGCAGTATAACCCAAATCTATTTCTAAAATATAGTTATGTGAGTTTTTCCTCTAAAGCATATTATATAACCTTATTACTGATTTAATAATTCTGGGGGCCGGCAGGTGGTGTGGTGGTTAAAGGCACTGGACTCGCACATGGCCAACCACAGTTCAAGTCTTGGACCTAGTGGTTTCCTTTCTCACTTTCCCTCTCTCTCAGTCTCTCTCTGGTCAAATTGGAAAATAATAATAAATAAAATAAAATAATTCTTTATTTTATTTATTATTATTATTTTTGGAGAGGTTTTTGCTATAGGTCATGTGTGCTCTCCAGAAAGACAGAGAGACAGAGAGATAGAAAACGAGAAATCACCCCCCAGGGGGAATGGCCACGCTGCAATCCTTTCTCCTCTCGGGATCTTGGGCACGCACACACACGCCTAGCATGAGTTTAAGCCACTGGGTCCGGGACTTGAAGCATGGTCACTACATGGGAGTCCAGCGACATAGCCATTACTCTAACTGCTGGTTCCAAAATAACTCTTTAAAAGTAATAATTCTGTATGTATAGATAGTGATTTATTGGCTTCATTATACCAGTAAGGTAAGAGTTGGCAAACTTTTTCTGGGAAACAGGTAGACAGTAAATATGATAGGCTTTTCTCTCTAGGGGATTTCCTCAGTGGGTTGATGAAGATGGAGCAGAGTGGTGCTGATAGGGCTTACATTTGCACAAAGTAGGATCTTTGGGAAATGAGGTCCTTTGAAGTGGCTCAACTCTGGCAGAGTGAGTGTTTTCAGAGACTCTGCTATGCCAATGATAGATCCCAGATTTGTTTAAAACAGTTTTATTCATTGTCATTATTTTAATTTTAAGAAATCGAGCTGCCAGGTCCAGGACTCCGACTGCAGTCAGCCATGTGGGAGTCCAGCTGCTTTAACCACCACAGCACCACCTGTCAGCCCCCCATATTTACTTGTAAAAATATATTATTAATTTTTTGCTACAGGGTGCGTACTCACTGGAGAGAAACAGAGGGATGGGTGAGACAGACAGACAGACAGAGAGAAAGAAAGAATGAATATCTACCCCTCAGGGGTGCAGGGGAAATGGTCATTCCACAATCTCATCTCTTTCATTCTCCTCGGGATTTTGGGCAAGCCTGGTATTTTTATAAACTGCTGGTTTGGGACTAAAGCCACATAGGTGGCCCTGTGGGATCCATCTGCCTTAATCTCCATACTTCCTGCTGGCTTTACTTTTCTCTTTTTGTAGTAAGAGTGTCTTAATCCATTATTGTGTTGTTGATGGAAATAAAACCTGAGGCTAGATGAGTAACGAAGAAGTAGAAGTTTATTGAGTCACAATTCTGGTTGTTGGAAAGTTCACTTAGGCCTTGCATCAGACCAACCTACAACATGGCTAATGGAAGCCCAGAGTATGAAGGCAGGTGCAGAGAGCTAGGGAGCTGTGGACAGCTAGAACTCACTGTGTCTTGGCAAGACCTCAATCTGTTCATTAGCAGTGCCTCTGTGAAGTACTTACCATCATGCAGTCTCCACCCACTAACCACCTCAACACCAGTACCAGCATATGAAGCTTTGTGGGTCATACTACTATCCAAACTATCGCAAAGGGGGTACATGTTTAAGCTTTTTATAATGGCTTTTTTTTTTTTTTTTTGGAGAGGATTTTACTATAGGACGTATGCGCTCGCCAGCCAGCCAGCCAGACAGAGAGAAAGAAAGTGAGAAATCGCCTCCCAGGGGGGATGGCCACGTCGCAATCCCTTCTCCTCCGTTCTCCTCTTGGGATCTTGGGCACGCACGCACACGCGCCCGACATGAGTTTAAGCCACCAGGTCCGGGAGGTGAACCACTGTCGACTACATGGGAGTCCAGTGACATAGCCTTTATGCTAACTGCTGGTTCCTATGGCTTTTGATTTCTTGAATATAATCATAGGTCCCACACGAACAACTGAATGGCTTGAGTCCTGGACCTGGCAGCTTGAAAAATACTCTGGGTACATGTGGGTGCCCAAAATCCCTGAAGAAGGGAGAGATGAAGGCAGGGATTGTGTTGTGACCATCCCTCTTGGGGGTGCTTTCTCACTTACTCACTGTTTTTCTTTCTCTGTCACCCTCTGGTGAGCACAAGTGCCCTATAGTAAAAAAAATAAAAAAGAAAAAAGCTTGGAGCAAAAGAGAAGGAAATTAAATATAAGACAACACACCCAGCCATTAAAAATGGATTTAGTCCAATGTAATTCTGTTACGTGAAATAAAATATCATTGATTTTGTTTAAAAAAAAAATTCTGATTTTGTTTTACATGAAGTAAAACATCTGACTATGGCTCACGTCAGTGCTGAAATTTTTGCAAAAAATTTTTCAGGCATGAAGAGGAGCATCGTCGTCGAGAAGAAGAAATGATGCGGCACAGAGAACAGGAAGAACTAAGGCGTCAGCAAGAGGGCTTTAAACCAAACTATATGGAAAATGTAAGTACTTGTTAATAATGATTTTATGTTGTTAGGTGGACAATGTATATTTAGATTTTGGTTTATATAGTAATTTTCTAATCTTCCTAATCTTTTTGAATTTGTCATTTCTGTTAAACCGGTGATTTTCTTAGTCCCTTACAGGTTGTAAATTAAAATTTGATTCTAAAGATAATTCATTTTATAAAATGGGTTTTATATTGAATATATATTAAAATAGTCCATTATTTTAATTGATCTTTTAACAATATATGCTGCTAAATTTAAATTCTTGATAGGTACATTATATCCACTTAAATAATTTTCACTATACAATGATATTAAAAAGACTTTATTTTGAAAGATTTCAGATAAGTGCAAAAGGAGACTAATAGGTGCTGATCATCCAGCCATTACAATTATAAACACATGATTGATCTTTCTGGTTTTTAAAGTATGCCTAATTTTTCCCCAAAAATTTTGTATGAAATATCTGACTTCATATAATGTCATTTGTAAGTATCTCTAAAAGATAAGTACTCTTCTTTTCAGTGCATTTATCATATCTTAAAAGTTGTTCATTCTTTAATATTAGCTAGTTAAAGCCCAAAATTTTCCAGGTCTTATAAAAGAATTTTTACAGCTGGTGTCCTTTTTTTTTTTTTTTTTTTTTTTTTGGGGGGGGGAGAGATTTTCACTGTAGGGCGCGTGCGCTCGCCAGACAGACAGAGAGAGACATAGAGACAGAAAGCGAGAAATCACCCCCCAGGGGGGATGGTCACGCCGCAATCCCTTCTCCTCCATTCTCCTCTCAGGATCTTGGGCACGCACGCACACGCGCCCGGCGTGAGTTTTAAGCCACCGGGTCTGGTACACGAACTGCGGTCGACTACGTGGGAGTCCAGCGACATAGCCATTACGCTAACTGCTGGTTCCCTAGCTGGTGTTTTTGAATTGGCTGATAAATACTTTCTTTTTAGCAATGGAATCTTGGGCTTACATGTGGTGTGGTGGTTAGGGTGCTGGACTCCTACATGGCTGACTGCCGTTAGAGTCCTGGACCTGGTGGCTTTCTTTCCCACTTTCCCCCCACCTCTCTCTACTGTCTTTTTCTTTCTTGTGAGCGCATGTACCCTATAGCAAATTTTAATGTAATGATAAATTTAAAGAAATAGAATTTCATTGTATAGAGTGTATAACATTTTACATTTTGCTGATTACATCCTTGCAGTGATATTTAATATTTATCCCTAAATTTCCTTGATCTGACCTACATTTTTGCTTTTGGTAGCAGAATGGTGGGAAAAACAAGGCTTCCTCAAATATGTCAAAATGTATAAGCTTCTTATTAGTTTATAATCTCATTGGTCCCCTTGAAAGAATGCTAGCTTATTAATTCTTTATCTTGGAAAGTATTCACTATTATTTTTTTCTGTGGTGTTCAGAAGCTGTGATTCTTTAATAAGAACTTAGAAATACAAATTCAAATGTTTGCTGCTTTTTTCTGTTCTTCTCTATCCCCCATTTTTTTTGTCCCTAGGAAATTCATCAGTTTTTTTTTATTGTTACTAGATTATATATAAGAAGATAAATCTTAACTCCTAGAACAAGGAATTTTTATCTGACTATGAAGTAGATATATTTTGAAGATTTTGTGGCATTTAAATCAAATTAGAAATGTGTGTTTTTTTTTTTTTGTTTTGTTTTTTTTTTGCTATAGAGTGCTTTTGTTCTTTGGAGAGAAAGAGAGAGAGCAGAGAGAGGGGGAAAGTGAGAAATCACCCCCAGCAGGTGATTTGATGGGTGGGCCACACCAGAATTTCTTCTTCATTCCCCTCTTGGGATTTTGGGCACACATTCACACGTACCATGCTGTGTGTTGTTTTCAAGTTGCTAGGTCCAGGATTCAATGTGGGATCCAGGTGCCTTCACCTCCACAACACCTGCTGGCCCTCAGAAAAGTTTTTAATAAGCTTACTAAAGGTGTAATTTAATTTATTTTTAAATTCCATTACAAAATTAGTTGAGTAAGTTTTAAAGCATTCTAACTTTTGAGTAATTTCTAGGATTGTTTTGGAAAAAAAATTTTTTTTTTTGAATGCATAGCAATTGCTTTTAGTGACATACTTTATTGCCTTAGGTTTCTTGGTTGGTATCTTTGAACCTCTGTTGGATTTATCATTGTGAGGATATTTTATAATGTGATAAGATAAAGTGGAATTAAAAACTTTCAAAGCTCATGTTTGAAAAATAGTAACGTGTGTGTATGTGTGTAATATATGTACACACATACATACATGAACCATATATGATACATATTTCTTAGGGAAACTTCTATTGAGGATTGGGAAATTCTACCTAATTATTTTATTTACCTTAATATTTACTCGAGTGCTTATGTAAAGATGGAACGAATTTTCTTAGTATTTTTCTGGCATAAATTTTTGTAATGAATGTAATTATGTCATGTAAGTCAGCATTTAGAGGAATAGAAGGAAACAATTAAGTAAAATGTATTCTAGCACTAAACTTGATTAAGTTAGCCGTATCATAAATTCAGTTGCTTGCAGCCTCTATTTTTTGAAATAATTTCATAGTCAAAATCTTATACCAGTGTTATTTTTAATGTATTTAATGGCATTTATTATTGGTATAGTTACCGATAGACAGTTTTAATTTTACTTTCCTAACTTAAAGAATATTTGACATTACTGTAATTTAGAATGAAATTACTGAAATTATTTTAATTTGAAAAGTTTTATGTTAAATTTTATTTTAATATTGAGTAAAACTACAGATAGCTAATGAACTTTAAGAACAAATGAATTTGTACTTTAAATACTCGTAATGGGTTTATTGGCATTTCAGAAATAATTTATTATTTCACAAAGTTATGTTCTCAGAAAAGGATTATAGTATCTTAATATTAAGATTTCTTCTTTTTAGGTAGTTGCTCAAAGTATATGTTGGTAAAATTGATTTGGCTAGAGTAGAAAGAAGTCAGCAAACTATAGCATGGGACCAGTTCTAGTTTTTGTACTACCTCACAACAGAGAGAAGGGGATGTTTACTTTTTAAAATGGTTATTGGAAAAACAAAAGAAGAATATTTAGACAGAGACTATTTGTGATTCACAGTTACTTGAAATAGTTTTTCTTTGGCCCTTTAAGAAAAAAGGTCTGTTGAGCCCTAGGCTGGAATATTTGTGATTTAAAAATTGTTATTAGTTCTTCTGTTAGATATACCACAAAGTCGCTGTATTTTTCATTTTCTGAAGAGCTGCCATATTTCAAATAGTGTATAAATGAACTGATGATTTGTGTAAAATGGAATTAAATATTTAGGGTGAAATATAGCCTGTTACTATTTTCGGGTGCTTTCGAGATTAGAAAGTATGTGAATGGGCACAAGTTTTTCATAATTGTAGTGTCCATTTTACTTGGTTTCCCACATTTATAATGCTTGTTATATAAGGTAATCATGTACTCTACCCTCTTCTTTTTGTATTAATAGGAAAACCACTGAAGCAGTTGTATGAGTTATTAATTACTTTGAAAACTGTCACTGGAAAAAAATTGTAAAACAATTTTAATGCTTGTTTTTGTTTTTGTGTTTTTAAAAGCTTTGAAATTAGGCCCTCTTATGTGCTTTCTCTTTTTCACTGTTCAGTTTAAAGGGAGGAATCAAATGGTAAGTGTTCAGCTTGCCCAAATAATAAGAGTAAACAGTTTCTGGATCAGTTTTAAGATGCCACTTCTCATTTCTTTCTTCCTGTATCCCAATACAACTAACAGTATGGGACTTTGAAGTGAAAATAATTATAAAACTATTTTATGTCCTAATTTTTTTTTAAAGTACAACACATCCTATCTGATAATATTTTTCTTCATCAGTTTTCAAATTGATCATAATTTTATGGTATACACAGGAGTATATTTTTAAGTTTCAAGAGCCTAAATCAGTACTTCATTAATCATAAGTTGTCATTTTTATTATTTACATTTGATGTAATAAATTCAACACGATACGTTTCAGTCTAATCAAATACTATACTTGTGACCACCTTAACAATGTGTACATTTTTATACTATATCTTAATCACTTTAGGTTTATCTTTACCATAATAAAGAGTGTATTTGTCGATTTTCTAGGTAGTATTTAGTACTTAGTTGAAATTTGCCACTTAAAACAATTTTATAGTTTTGGACACGTCACCAGCAGTTATTCTGGAAACTATGAAGATTTTAGATGGTCTTTTATGATTGTCATTTGATTGTTTTCATATGAGTTTGTACTACTTACTGCTGATTAAGTAGATTCAACTTATAAATACTGCAGCATACCAATCTTTATTTGTAGAAACAATTCATTTTGGAGTTAATGGCAGGTTTTAATTTGAATATTTTATTGATGTACTTTCTTGGTATAAATTTTGCTTCTTGGGAAAATATTAATATAAAAATATTCAAATACAGCCTTATTCTAGTTTATTAATTTATTCTAGTTTATTATTTATGTCTTATAATTATAAAATACTTTGTTTAGGAAAACTATGGCAGTATTTCAGTTGGATGCTACATAGTTTTAAATCTGAGAAGTTTCAAAGTCCTGTGGTAAATACTAATGTTTGCTTTTCAGTAGTGAGCAGAATAGCCTTTCATATTCATTTAAAATAGCCTGCATTAAACTAAATACATTCCTGACTTGATGATAAAGCTTTTTTGACCCCATTTGAGTAGTTGGAAATAGCCCTGGGTTTAACAACTCTCTTTATTTTCAAAGGTGTATTTCATACTGAGGCAAGTTTGGCCCAGTTGTGTTGCTTGTCAGTTATTTCATTTTAGCATCCAGGGGACTATGAAATAGTGAGGCCAGAAACATTAAGGAAATTTAGCCAGGGCCTCTTCCAAGACCAATGCTTTTCAAACAGTATATAATCACTCAGGAGCTTTTTAAAAATGTAGGCACCTAGATTTTTAACCTGGAAATTGATTTGTTTTGTTGTTTAAATAGATTCTGAT